TAGTTTGGAGAAACATATTAGGAGTGAGAAACATGTTAAAAACCTATTGAGGGAAAGGAAGGTTCAACAAACAACAACATAGTCACAAAACATCACATTGCCCAGTTTCAACTTCACTTTGTCAATCAGTTCTAGATGTACAAACAATTACACAAAAAGGGAGCAGGGTTTGAGAACACAAGGCACTTGAAGCAGGAGTACATGAGAAGAAGGGTGAAGGCAGTCATATTAGTTAATAGAGACACAGAGCAAGCAGGAATATTGATTACAATCATACTTAGTGATAAGCATGCTATTTAAGAACACACAAGACTGAAGCACTGCAATAAATATGTTGGCTAAATACAGTGAGATATAAGTCTGAACACATAGGCAATCATGCTAAAGGATACAAGAAGAACCACAAAGATTCAATCACACAAAGTAACCATACTAGTTGGGGTTACAGGACAAGGAAGACACAAAAGTAACATGCTGTTTAAGACCATATTGAATACTTAAGTAGAATAGACATGCTTGATTAAAACACTGAACAAGAGAGGGTGAAACTTAAGCATACTGATCACACTAGCAAACATGAAAGAATAATTAAGTGCCTAAGCAATTAAACTAGTGCAGAAAATGGTGACCCAAAAACAGGGTATAGATGCAAATGTCCCTCTTTAAATTATATATAGGTTTAGCCCATAGGTAATAAATTAATACTATTATACCCAATCTATCAAAGACCCAACCCTAATAAGTAAGTCCATCACCTTTCCAATCTTAAAGATTTTCATTCTATTAAAACTTCCATAGCATATATGATAGTATACCTGGAGGATTTCACATAGAGTTAGTACTTTGCACTCTGTTTGAATTTTATAATCCATAGTATGCAAAGCTTGGTCTTTTTTTTTTATAAACACAGTATTTCCAAGAAGTCCGAAGTTTTGGAGAAAAACAACAAATTTGTCGGTCCTATTATTACATAGAAGGAGCCCAATATAATATTGTTCAAACCGAAAACCGATTCGAAATAAACCGAACCGAAACTGAACCGAACTTATTTCAATTCGATTTCGATTACTACTTTTACAAAATCGAAAACCAAATAATTGAACCGAATTTCTTCAAATCAAATCGAATCGACTTAACGACCATGCACCCCTAGTTAAGACAGAGCTAAGATATTAAATTAGGAGAGAAATTTTACATGATTTCAATCGTCTGCCTCTTGAATGAGAAGCTACTTCAGCTTTACAAAGAGCTAGGAGTTTCTTAAATTTTTTTGCATATAATTATATTGCAAGGTTGGATTTTGACTTGCTATTGGTAATAACTCTAATGCGTCAAATCCTAACAGTTCAGATTCAAATATGTATTCCCATAAATGTAGATGGGATTCCATATAATTCTTCCGAGATGATCCATAAAGCAATTCCTTCAACTTATCAAACAGAGTTGTAGCTCTAAATTCCATTGTTGAATTCTTGTCCATCTACACACAGAC